GGCGCGCGGGTTCCCCGCGGGAGGCGCGGCCCCCAGCCCACGTGCGCCGCGCGGTGGTGGCGGGAGCGGGGCCGCTGACGTCCGAGGCCGTGGGCAGTGATTACCTCAGGTCTGCTGGGCCGTGCCCTGCGGGGAGTTCCTGCTTCCCTGGGCAGAGGCCCGCGAAGGCCGGCGTCGCGGGAGGAGGAGGAGGGCGGCGGCCCGGCCCGCGGGGCCGAGCGTGGCCGCCTGCCTCGGGCGCAGGGTCCCCTGGACCTGTGCTGGAGTGCCCGCCCGGGGCTGCGAGACCCTCGTGCCGCTTCAGGCCGAGTTAGGAAGGGGGTCCCGACCGCTGGTGACGGAACTCAGGTGGGCGTCGCCAGAGCCGGGTGACCTTGGAGCGCTCCCGCCGCCCGGGCCGGGGTCTGCGTGGGACCCCGAGGGCCGCGAGGACCCGGTTCCTAACAAAGCAGCTGTTCCGTTGCATAGGAATTCATCATCATCAGGAGGAGTTCCAGGTTCCAGTCGTGTCTGAAGGGTTGGGAGACACTTAAAGGCAGAATCGCGTCCGAAAACTACAGCCTCGAGGTCTGAGATGATTGGCATTTTGTTTTGGGGGGGGGGGGTGCGGTGTCACCCACCGAATGCCATACTCACCCAAACACTTGCAGTGGAGAGCTGCCGCCCAGAATTGAGGATATTTCGTCATAAAGCGTTTTACACCTGAGATTTTTCCCCTTGATTTGGTTGCTCAGCATGTATTTTATGAGGCTATTCTGATCTTTGAAGACTGGATTTCCTGTAGTGAGGAGGCCGAGGGGCTCTGGTTTATTGAGTGCACACAAACAATGGAGGGAGGTGTTTGAAAGCCCCTGGCTTCTCACTGCTCCCTGCAGACTGGGACTGTTGTCTTTGTGTCTTTATTCTGCTTGAGCTGGTCTCACTGTGCTCTGTCATTGATTAGGAACACCTGGAAGGACAGGGCCTTCTGGGAGTGGCTGCTCCGCTGGCTGGCCCTGCCCAGGAGCTCCCAGAGAGTGTTCTGAAGCTGTTCTGGGAAGGGCTTTCCTCCCCGGCCTCCCCACCCTTACCTGCTAGACACATTCACGGAGTGCTCACCCTGAGCACTTCACTAATACTAACTCATGAATCCTGGCAGTGGGAGATGGGAACACCTTGTCTAGCCTCAGTGCAGCTGAGCTGGGGGCTTGAGAAGTAAACCCAGGCCAGCTGGCTCCACCCAGACCTCACCATCATGCCCTGCTTCCCTTCCAGCCACTGCCTAGTTCTGAACCTGTGAGGAATTTGCACTTTGTTTATCCCAAAGATGGGGTGGGGGTGGGGACCCTTGTGACCCCGTATATAGGTGTAACAGCAAATTACCCTCTGGGAGCACAGTCACCCCTTAGAAGGAACGTAGAATTTAGCATTAAAACTGTGACACTGTTACCGGTGAATGGCAGGGTTCTTGTCTTTGCTCAAGAAAGAATTCAGGCGTGAGACAGAGAGTAGTGGAAAGCAACATAGCAAGGTTTATTAGGGAAGGGACATCTGTAAGAACGGATGGGCACCTCTCCAGACAGGACCTGAGAGAGAGTGCCCAGTTGCTCGGACTGGGGGAGAGCGAGGTTACAGGGTTCAGTGGAGAGAGTACACCTGGGCAGGCCAGGTGGGCAGCTCAGCAGCAAGGCAGAGTGCTGAGCACACAGTCCGGGTGAGGCGGGGGTTGGGGGGTGTTAGGGGATGGGCCTTGCCTTGGACCTCTGCTCCTCTTGGAACAAATGACTTTTTGGATGTAAATACTAAACACTCCTGAGTTTTCCCCCTGAAGTTATCAGACTAGGGGAAACCTGGAAAGGTGAGCCTAACCCTTGGAGGATCCTCGGGAGCAGGATATTTGAAATGCAGATATCAGGCAGAAGGGGCGGGGACCCTCACCTGGCTGGGTAGAAGGGAAGGGGCAGGGCAGGATGCAAATGCTGGATGACTTTGAGATGCATATGCTGGACCCAAACCTTTCCTTAGGCCTTTGTCACACACACATAAGCTCATATCTGACTTCCTAACAAAACTACTCTGTTAATGACTCTGCCTGGATGGCAGGTGTCCACAGGGTGTCCCACAAACCCTGGCTGTGTCCCCACCCTGCGGCCATTGAGGAGGAGGAGGCAGCTAACTGCACGGACCCCCTCCCAGGGAGGGCTTCTTGAGAGCTCCTTACTGGAGTTACTTTTTTTTTTTTTTTCTGTTAAAGTTTCCAGTGAATTACATGAGCAGGTAGTGAGGGCTGTATTTCACCTCTTTCCTCCCAATCACTGTATGTCACCTGGTTAAGACCCAGGGACCCAGGCAGGCCACAAATATGGCATATTCTGTAGGCTGAGCACAAGCGTTAATTCCCACAAATAGGAGAACCCCAAAACCCATTTTGCGTCATAAAGTACAAAGGTTCCTTGCATCTTTCCTGCCACAGACAGTCATCTCAGGAGGAGTAAAGATACTGAGCTGTCTCCTGGATGCAGGAATTCCCACTGGGCTTTGCTGGGCACAGCAGCGCTTCAGAAATCAAAAGAAAAAGAGGTTTAGACCTTAGAGAAGTTTGGTTGAGCCTGGAGACTAATCAGGCCCTAAGCATGTGTATCTCCCTGGGGCTTTCCAGCAGAGTGCATTGTTTTCTAGATACTGTCACCTTTGAAATAGCTTTTTTTTTGGGGGGGGGGGGATAGGGCATCCATCAGAACGACAGAGAGTGCCAGGTCACTTGGACTAGGGGATGAAATAGCTTTTATTAGAAGGGACCTGTCCTTGCTGAAGTGAGCCCAGAAATGTACAGTGCACTATTTAGTATAAAATTTACCAGTGCCAAGTGCTGTAGGTTCTTCTGTCCACAGAGGGGATGAAGTAATTATGTTGAAGGATCAGCCTCAGTATCTTTCTGATCCTTTCCTGGATAACTCACTTCTGAGGCTGCTTCAAAGTTGTTCTGCAAAAACGCAGCCCTCTTTATAATAGAAAAAAGAGTGGTCATCTTTTGGGATGAGGTGAGAGCCCGAGGTGGGGGTTGTAAACTGCACATCTTTAGAAACTATTGAAAATAAGATACATGAGTATTCTAAAATCTTGTGTATTTTCAAGCCTGGGGACCTCAAAATTAGAACCGAGTTATGCTTAAGAGTGTTTTTCACCCCTTGCCAAATGATTTTCATGCCCTGGAATTCCAGCAAGTGTGGCAGTCCCTGGCTGCTGGTTTTCAGAGATAAAACTTTTCAGCATTCCCTCTCAGAGTTTTTAGCATCTGAACGACTTGCAACTGGAATGAGGAGAAGCCTGTAGGTTTTCTTTTAATCTCTGGAAGCTTCCTGGGAGGGGGGTGCTGATGGGCGAGTCTTGGCAGTGATAACTGAGCCAACACACTTGCTGGCTGGGACCTGATGGCAGGGATGCTGATCTGAAGTGGAAAAGCTCAAGGGAAGGTGTTTGGGGAGGACTGGGGCTCCACCTGGGGCTGGGTTTGGCCTTTGCCGCCTTTTAGCTTGTGCAGAGCTGTGTAGGCTAATGGGCAAGGGGACTCCAGAAATGCTTGGTGAGGCTCGGATGGGGCTAGTGGCCCTTGGATCCTTTGGCCTCAGGATACAAGTAATTTGCCTGCTACTCACTTTCATCATGGCCATCTTGCCTTGGTCACTCGATTTCCCTCCTTTCCAATACCTTCAAAAGTGATGAAATTTACTTTCCATCATGTAAGCACTTTAGGGTCAAAGATTATGATCCTAGCAGAGGTGAAACTCACTAGATATTTTAATGAATGAATAGATCAGTGGGTAATGAGGGAGGAGAGGAGAGGAGAGGAGAGGAGGTGAATGATTACTTCTGGGCCCTGAAGAGGGGGCACCTGTGCTGCTACTCCTGATCTTAGACCTGATCTATGCCCAGACACTGAGGGATGGACTCTCACTGTTTCTCAAGCAAAGCCACAGCTTTTGGGAAAACTTTGTCAAAGTTTTATATTACATGTCAGGGAAATGGTGGCATCATTCCTACCTTGTCCTAGTTCCATACTATTAGGTGCTTCAGATGTGACAGTCCCTCAGTCCTCAAAAATGGCTGTCACGGCCTTCGCTAAATGTGTTCATCTCCAAGCCTCTTTTCTGATTTTGACTCATCCACCCATCCTTGTAGCTGCAGTTTGAAAACTGCTGATCTGTACAGTGAGGATTTCCCAATCTTTATTGTTTGAAAATAATTGGTTCTCAAAAAAGGCCAAATCCATTTGAGCGGGTTAAATTTCCATAGTTAATATTGGGGAAAAGGTCGATTGGGTGTTTATTTTAAGGACACAAAATTCATATTGTAAAAGTAAATTAAGGGGCCGGCACTGTGGCATAGCAGGTAAAGCCGCTGCTTCCAGTGCCCACATCCTATATGGGCACTGGTTCAAGTCCCGGCTACTCCACTTCCAATCCAGCTCTCTGCTATGGCCTGGGAACCCAGTAGAAGATGGTCCAAGTCCTTGGGCCCCTGCACCTGCGTAGTAGACCCAGAAGCAGCTCCTGGCTCCTTGCTCCAGATCAGCGCAGCTCCGGCTGTTGTGGCCAACTGGGAAGTGAACCAGCAGATGGAAGATTTCTCTCTCTCCCTCTCTCTCTCTGCCCCTCCTTCTCTCTCTAACTCTTTCAAATAAATAAATATTTTTTTAAAAAAGTAAGTTAATTCATGAGTCAATTTTGGGGAAGAGTAATTTTCCTGGCACAATTCTGTGAGTTTCCCCTTGCATTGGACTTCAGTAGCTTGATCACAGGGAGGTTTTGCCCTGATGCTCTGGGCGTCAAGCACTACCCCACCCCACCCCCGCTTCTCTTGGTCCAGTTCATTCATGTTGCTCTCCTTTGGGTACCTGCTGGGTTGTTATAAATGGCTTGACTTCCAGGTTCTTTATTACCCTGACTTCCTGGAGATTCTGCAAGGTGCTTGTCAGTTTGTATAGTATCTGTTCTGAGATCAGAGGTGACAGAGCTGGAATGTTGAATGGGCACTGGGGTGTTGGTGGATTATTCTAGAAGCAAGGAGGTTTCTGGTAAAGACACAGTCATGATGCCCTTGGCTCGAACTTCTCACTGACACTTCCAGGAACAGTGAGGACACTGATCTGTGGCTCAGATCTAACTGGCACTGTCAGAACCTTGTCATCATGCAGATAAGATTATATTAGCAAGCCACTCCTTGCCAAGAGATTCACATTGAATTTTCGGTGAGACTTAAGTGTTTTAACAAGTGCTGTTTCTACCACAATCCTCACAACAGCTTTGGAGTTGTTTATTACTTTTCCAGAAACCTAAATTGAGGAATGTGAACTGGTTCTAGCTATATTTCTTGTAACTTCATCTTGTCGCCTTAAGCTTATCAATTTCTTGTTTTTTAAAGATTTATTTATTTATTTGAAAGAGTTACACAGAGGCTGGTGCCGCAGCTCAATAGGCTAATCCTCCACCTGCGGCGCCAGCACACCGGATTCTGTCCCGGTTGCTCCTCTTCTAGTCCAGCTCTCTGCTGTGGCCCGAGAATGCAGTGGAGGATGGCCCACGTCCTTG